TGCATAATACACATCTATCCGCAATTCATATTGTAGTGCATCTATAAACAAAGTAAACCAATAGAACTTCACCAAATACAATATTAATATCTGTCCAAAGTAAACAAAGTTAACGTATAAAATATTGAATTTCTTATTTATAATATTATAACATAGCGAAAATATTTACTAGTTTTATTAATACAAAAAATATAATGAAAATATTTATACAAAACGCTTGACTTAACAATTTAAGAAAAGATCTTCCGTGATTTTTTTTTTTAAATATTTTTGAAGGAAAAAGTACCGAAGCTATTTTGGAACGTGAATATGTAAATCAGTATAAAGAATACAAACAAGTTGAATGCGGTTTTGGGTTGATGTAGAAATATGTATTTTATTTTTATGGAAAATCAAAAAAATTAATTCCATGTCCTCGTGATGCAAATTTAAGGAATGTATACATATATATTTGTTTGTTTGTTAAATAATAGAAACGGCGTTCCGTTTATACAAATGACGTTGTATTGTTAAGAGTTCCGAGAATGGGAGGGGCCGACCGAGGGCTGAAATAAACGGGAAATGTTATCTGCAAGATTGCTGTCTGCGAGGGTTGGTTGAGATGCTGCTGTTGCTGCTGCTGTAGCCCCTCGAATCTCCCAATCTCGCATATGTGACGAGAAAACTTTGTTGTAATAAACGTCACCAGTTGTTTACATCGCTTCTACGAGTATTATAACTTCAAACTGCTCTGATCGTTGATAGCCAAACATGCCGGTAGTTGTTTAAACGTCAATTTAGTAGATCATCAGTACTTAAGCATTTATCATTTCTAATTAATGGAAATAATAATTAGTAAAAATTATATATTTTACAAACAGAAAATATTGAATTATATTGAATTAAATGAGAAACAGATATATCAAGTTTTGTAAATTCAAGGATAATAGTACAAAAATTTTGAACTAAATAAAGGTTTGGTCTATATTTTTTTAAGATTAAAAGATGAGTTGGAGATGTAACGTAAGTTGTTGTCGAGATTTGAGGGAGTGAAAAAAGTTTGAAGTGGCATGGCTTCGTAGTGGATACCTAGCAGAGTGGAGTTGAATCCGCGGACTCGATTTATCTTTTGCAAGGCAGTTGCAAAACAAACTGGCTGAGGGATGACGTATTGTCGTGTCCGTAACGCTGTTTCTATGGCATGGATTCGCCAGCGGACAGATCCATCATCACAGTGGGATTAAATGATGCGGATCAACTGAAAAAAGAAATTTGTAGAAAATAATGATTAGTACGGGCGTCGTGTGGATAGTAGTGGTGGCGGTTCCTGGATCGAGGGTAAACGAGTTGGATTATTTCTGCAAACGAGATTTGATGTGATTGCATAATGAAATCAGGCATTGAAACGACGTAATGAGGGAAGCTGCTAACAAACGTTCATAATTGGGAGGGTTGTGGATGTGAGCGCTAGGTTGGCAGCTAGGTGCGACGTGTTGAAATTTGATTTGGGACTTTCTGTGGATGCGAGCGAGGCAATACAGTAATCGTTAAAGTCTTTCAGGAGACATGCATTATGAAGTAGTCGGACGGATCTCTACTGCAGTGCAGTAGGTCTGTAGCTATATCTATAGTTGTAGTCGTAGCTGTAGCGACGGTAGCTGAGATCGCGGCCAGCATCAGAAAGGCAGGCCAAGGTAAATCTGGGATTGAATGTTTTATACGCGCGTAATCCAGAACAAACTGAGTTTGGAGCCGGCGAAGAGCCGAATTATTTAAGCGGATCCTAGGTTGCAATTGTGGCGCGAACTGTACAAGTGCAAGTAGTCAAAACGAACGGGTATAGGTTGCGGAACGTGGACTGACACTATCGGTGGAGGAGTTCGGAGGTTACGGTAGTTGATGGGAATGCCGACATCTGCAGTCGGAACATTATTCCTTTGACTTTGTTGTCATAATGGGGGAGGCGTCGGCACCGAAGGAGAGGTTTGGGGGAGAGGTGGTACAAGGGTCTTAACCTCGCACAATCAAATCCCAGCTGCATTATCCCAGTGCTACGAGTTTGCACTCAGGATTAATTCCGATTGCAGAGGCTTCATTTAACAACCTGCTTTAATGAAATCGTAATCTTTTCAGCGGTGGTCGCAGATCGACCCAAGTTTCGCGTCTTAAAAGAAAGTGAAAGAAGTGAAGGGGGATGGATTGGAGTTGTAGGTGGAGGAGTAGAAGGAGGCTATGACAAATTGCACTCCGATGTCGCGCGTTGCGAGGGGCTGTCTACATCTTTTATTCGGCCAGGGATGTATACTGCTCCGGAGGGGATGCGGCCCTAGGACCATTCTGCGGCTCTGGGACTACACCTCGGATATTGTTAGTTCCCAGTTCCGGTTTATGTTCAACTTCCGTTTCGGCTTCTCATTACATTGATTCTAAGTGACACTGGCACGCCACGAGTGCGAACTTTATGAAGCCTAGCACGCCACCTTTCAACCTAACAGCCCGACGACCACAGACAATTACCTATATAAAACAGTTAAACGCTAATCGAATTGAAGTGGCTGACTGTTTCTATTCCTCCAACGAATACATGCTCAATTTTCTCGATTTATCGATCCGCACCTGCGAAACCACCCCTCGAAACAACAACGGAAGAGAAGAGAAGGAAAAAAAAACATTGAGAAAGTAACAAGAAGGAGCATCCAAACAACCACCCCCGCATCCCGTCCGCCAGCAAACAAGCAGACAAACAGAAACTCCTTTAAACAATCTGACTAATTGTCCCCTCATCTAAATTAACCCTAATAAAATTAAACCGCTTTGTCTTACCACCAGCACCGCCAAAACACCCTCCTGCACCTACGACCTCCCAAAAACGCGCGTGTATCCGAGACCCGAACCCACCCGACCTGTGATGCGGAAAGCGCACACCGAACTCATCAAAGAGGAAGAAATTGCAAAACAAATGCAATTCCGAACTCAGAACCCTTTCCAATTTCAATTTATCAATAAATAAATATAAAACTATATATATGTAAGTATGTATATATAGAGAGAGAGTTAGAAATTTCCTTATATATACGCGTAATTACCCACTGCATTCCTTGCGAGTTTCCGTTCTTGCGCCCTTCGGATCAGCGAATAGTTATGAAATGCATCAGACACTCCAACAATGACCGGTTTTCTCACTCTTTGGAATTCCCCATTGCAAACAAAGGGCGCCAAAGTCCCAGGCCACGTTCGAAATTAATTTTCTCGTCCTGTCTTCGAAGAAGAAACGCACAAGTCTAAAAGGAAAATAATAATCATGATCAAAAGTAATAATAATAATCATCATAATGATGATGATCAGAGAGGAAGTATTACATAATTACGCACCGGTCCGCACCGGGCGCTGCGGTAAATTGGGCACGCACAATTAGGACGAAATTACGTAACGCGTCCGTTAGGGTGCGAACGTAAGCTATTCGTTATTAACTCGCCAATAAATGGCTGTCATTGTCGCTTCCGTTTCGCTACATTACTGCGAAAACGAAACGTTTTTATTACGAATGCAATTGCATTGCGCCCATTTGCTTCCAAGTGCGTGCAATGCACACCTACACCTGTGGATCTTTCGGATCGCGGCATTCCGATATTCAGTTCAGAGGACAATCTTGATGAAATGTGTATTTGTGTTAACTGTGTATTTGTTAAATTGTTCCATCGGGCAAATTCCTACACGTAAAATTAAGTCGTAATAATTTTATGATACGTACACATTGCATCTGATAAGCGAAGTTACGCTTGTACACCGCTCGTATACTTTTATGTAATGTGCACATATCTATCAGATTATATATGATTCAATTACCCACATTTTTCACTTAAAATACACATATTGAAAAAAAAAATATAATTGAAAAGTAACATCACAATAAAGATAAATCATTAACTAAAATCAATTCATTAACTATAATAAACACAATTAAATCATCAAAACTATAAAAAATAATGTATAACAAACGTATTGAAAAAAAAACAATTTCATATATGTTATCAGAAGTGTATGAAGTATTATAAAATCAAAACATATAATATTGAAAAATATCAAATTTTTACTATAATAAATTGTCGTAAAAATGAAAATAATTTACTATATAAATTTTAACTTGATACAAATTCTGTATGTGACAATGTTAGATTTCTATAAATTATGTTAATAACTGGAAATGATCACTTTTTACATGATTTTAGTATTATTGAAGAGTAATAATAAATTTTGAAAGAAACTGAAAATTAAACGTCGTCTATTTTATTTTCGAGAAGAGAAATGGTTAGAATACGATGAAAATAGGAAAGCGGGAAACGGCCAATGATCAATACGTTAACATGCCATGAATGCCATTTAAATAATATTAGGCTCCAGCATTGGATGCTCCGCACGTTACATAATGCGATCATTAGAATAGGGCCGAGGGATCAGGAAGTTGCAATATGAGTAGGAGTGTTATATCTATGGCCATCATTAGCCCTAACGTGCATAAGGCAGTCTATAGGCTACACATCACGAATCGATATCCTATTAGCACATTGTCCTAAACAATAAAGGAATAATCAAATTAAAATATGTATTTTTGCCATGAACGATATAATAATAGATTATACAAAGAAAACATTGCGTATTAGAAATCTATGCAAATTTATTCAGCTATTTGAATTATTCATGTTTTTGTATAAATAATATTAAAATGGAATATAAAAAAACGCGTATGAAATAAGAAGATTTTGAGTTGTTGTTTTTGGGGAATAGTTTGAATTTGGGGTGGTTTGGAGGGGTTGCGTTCATGGGATATCTTTTTACGTTTCTATTAGGGAATTCTTCGGCGCGGCAATTAAATTGAAAACGGCTGCACGACTGCCGCTTTTATTAGAGGTATAAAGTGTTTAATGGAAATGGCAAATTTGGCATGCATTATTCCGCTCAAAATGCTACTTATTAATGCAGTAATAATATGTAATAATGAATTCGGGCTTTGTTATTTCAGTGGTTATAGAGGAGCCGGAATTCACCGAAGTCATCGAGAATATAACTGCAGCTGCGGGCCGAAACGTGAAGTTTGCTTGCTCGGTGAAGAACCTGGGGTCGTACAAGGTAAGTAAACATTCTTAACATCCCACCTTTTCATGCCGAAAATCTCAGTTGGCAAACAACGACCGAAATACACGGGGACGGGGACATATACGAAACTGGTATATATTTGCACGGTATTGCGCAAAACCACCACGACCGAAACCTTCAACCATCCTCATCTCCAGCAATTTCCAATATTATTTAATTAAGGCATATTGCCTCCACTCGAGAGATCGGAATTGATTAATTTAGTTCACTTATGTGTGCATGGATGTGTTTCTTTATTTGGCCTTGGCGACGACAAATACAGATCTAGGGATAGTCTTGGAAGGAGGAGGCGCAGGCTGTCTCTTCAATCGAAGAGATATCAGCAAAACCCTCTTCGACTAAAAAACAGTGTCCAATTTCTTTGCGCGCAAAGACGACGTCTGATGTATTAAAAAAGTAATGTCAGCGGCCAGAAAATTGAGTGCGGAAAAAGTTCCTGCCGTCGTCTCCTCCTTCGCACAGGACGTCATTGGCTTTGCCAGGATCTATCTGCATTCAAATCTGATATCCATGAACAAATCAATCATGCACCGTATTGGCCCATCCGAATTACCTCATCTCCTCACATTGCAATGCTCTTTGCTCACGAAATCAAATAAAGTCGATTTAGTCGGACCATTCCAACATCTTCTCGAATATTTCATTGAAAAATTATACGTCTAATCCCTCGCCTCCTCATAAATCAAAATACTGTCATGTGTGGACTTATATTAACATACTAACTTTAGAACAATCGTGATATTTTAATTTAGATTCTTTTACCTTTTTTTACAACATAATACAATATAAAAACCGCATTAAATAAATCATTTCGCCATTTATTATTTTTAATCAATCAAAACAATCAAATCAAGAATTAAAATATTCTGGTTCAGCAATAATTAATAAATATTCACACAAATTTAATTACTTTTTTAACATAGTAAATCTTCATTAGGAAATATATAACAAATATGAATGTTACTAAACTTATTACATTTTACTTTAAACTTACATATCAAATTTAGTGAAAGAAAAATCTTCTATTTATTTTTGATAATATTATGTTATTTTGGCATAGACATTATAAAGGTTTCTTTTATTGAGCAACAAAAAAGTTTTTTTTTATCCGAATCTTGATTCCAATAAAACACGTATACTTTTACTGAATTATTGATATAATTTATTTATGTAACATAGACATAATATCTCTTAATGTATGTTAATTTACATCATAAACTAATTGTATACTGAATAATCTTAGTAGTCGAGTATGGAGTAGATTAATTGCTAAATGCCACTACATTTATGAGGCATTCGAGGAATCTGTACAATGTATTTTGATCACTTCCTCCGCCGTTCCTAATTTAAGATCGATGTATCTATATATCCTCTTGTTAGTGAAGGATTGCTAGTAATTATCCCTAGGTTAAATACCTTGTAATATTTCAATATTGACATTTATATTTCATATTTAAACTGAAAATAATTGAAAATTTTGTATATAGTTAATATTTTTAATAATTTGTCCCACATTTAATATTCTTATTAAATTATTGTTTCTTTCAGATGATAATTATCACATAAATTATATTTTATAATTGGTAAAAAGAATATACAAAACCAACATAGAAAAATTTAATTTTTATTGAAAAATATAATAAATGAAATAAAAAAAAATATTTTAAACATTTAATTTTTATTGAAAAATATAATAAATGAAATAAAAAAAAATATTTTAAAATATTAAAAAAAAGTAAAATATGGAAATATATTTAGTTTGTTATAATTATCAAAGTTTTTTTTTTTCTATAAATTAAGAAGCTAATTTTTATAAATGTTGAAGTTTTTATCCCAATTTTGCTATAATTATTTATTTTAAGGATTTATTAATAAATTTATTAAAAAGTAACAAGTATTTAAAAATCTTTGAGTATTATATAAGAAAATGTATGTAGAAACAGAAGGCGCGAAATAATATTAATATATAAAGTAATTTGATTCCGTTTTCCACCCTTCAGGAAATTACAGCGATTTTGTAATTACACGGCCCTAAGTTCAAGGGCCGTGCAATCGCGGTTTTATTTACGCTCGCGAGAATCCGTTTTGGATGGTAATAAAATTATTAATACTGCCTTCTCCTCTCGTGGTAATTCCATCAGTTGTAGACGGATTCTCGTTGAGACACGGCACATTCTTATTCCTATCTTAAATTGCATCGATCGAAGTGTCCGATTTTCTTTTTATTTTTGGTCGTCCGTGATATAACGACACGTTGATGCATGCGCTTGTTTTGTGAACGCCGGATGCCACCCTCTATCTGTGGATGTTATTCTGAGGGGTGACGGCAGCGAGGGGTGACTGCAGCGCACGGCGGAAAACAATAGTAAATAATGTTTGCGGTTTATATGGTGAGGATTTATTGGGAACGACAGCTTTCCCAGAGGTGTACTTCACAAGTTTATTGACTCGCTAAAAGTTGCGAGTTTGTTTTCGGGCGCGTTGATTCCGAAATGAATTGATTGATGGAAATTAGAGAGATAGATGGTTTGCAGGAAAATGTGAGAAAGGGATGTTTTTTCGTTTGTTTGTTTTTTTTTGGTTAAGAATCGACTAGTCGAGATATATAAAGTGTAAAGTGGTTTGGCGTCGCGCGGGGGTGGGGGATGGTTTAGGGATTGGCTTCGGTTTACCACCGACGGCTGTAGTTCGGAGGCGGGGGTTTCGGGGCTCGGAATGGAATGGAAAAGCTGCGAAGATAGGCGCACGTTTTAGGGCTTAGCCGAGCTTTGGAGCAGTTGCTTCGGGAGTAGAAGTTCGTACCTTGGAAACGTAAATGACCACAGTAAGTGCGGATTCAATATGTACACTTGATATGTTTATTGTTGTTTGAGGGTTGAGGGTAGTAGTACAAGGTGTTGGCGGCAAGGAAGGAAAGAGAAAAATCTGGTGGAATGGTAGGGAGGAGCGCGACGAACGAACTTCGTGGAGCATAAAAAGCCCTCGGCTGAGTAGATTAGGGGATCTCCGTAGGGCGTATCTCCTCATCTACCTTTGCTTAAGGCCCGAGACATTGTTTCCCCCCCGGTGTCATGGTGATGTTCCCTAATTGTTTGACTATTACCGCGAAACATTAACGACGGCAAACTTACAAGTAAATTTTCGTAAACAGCCCCAAACATTTGTCAAACAAATTATCATTAATTATGCCACCCGCGTAAATGTTAACGCACCAACAGAGGCAGAAAAATGTCGCTGCCGATAGATGGCGCAACTTGTCCTCGGTGAGTCGAGCGCCCCTACGCCGCCCTCTTGCCGCCCCCCGTACATTGCGACGGTAGAATATGTATTTTATGTAAAATTGCGAAGCAGGAGGTTTCAAATTAGGCAAATAGCGGGGCCGCGAGCTGCGCCGAGAATAAAATATATGCACAATCAACTGGAGTTTACACATTTCATTTGGATCCGTCGCAACAAAGCAATATTTGTTATTGATACCGTTTGTTTATCCACCCTCCTACAATTTAGATGTAGAAAAGACAAATGTTAAACAATATTAACAATTAAAATATCTTTCAACTTTTCTAATTACAATCGATTCCGCTTAATTATGACACATAGGGACACAGGACACACGCGTTACAAATATTGCATATATATTTGGATACAATTCAAACATGTTTTTCATTGATTTGTATAAAAGCGAACCACTTATGCCAATCACACAAATTGCTTGAATATTTTATAGCAACTGGATGCACGGATATTAATTTTAATAATATTCGTAATGCAATGGCGAATCAACTTAATTAATTTAATTAATAATACAAAATATATTCAAATTTCGATATAATATTGAAAATAAGGTATTTTCATTTGATCTATTGAAACTTATTGATCAAATTATATATATATATTTTTATTAATGCAACGAAAAACTCTAAAATTTATTTTTTATATAAATTTGTATTAGAAGATTTGAAAGGTTTCATCCAAACCAGCTACAGATTTCTATTAAATTAAGAAAAGCGGTCTCCAATTCTTGTTAAACTTGTTGTTTTTATTAAATTAAGGAATGCGGTCACCAATTCTTGTTTAATTTTTTTGAGCTCCTTAATATTATTATAAGTATACGGTGTCACAGGAATAGATTTTTCTTGTAAAATTTTAATAAAAAAAATATTGTGTTATATCTAAGTGCACTTAGACCTATAGTAAATTGAATTTTGCTGGATGAAATTATATAATTGAATTTATTCAATGTTGTTGTAACTGTATCAGCCGGGGTCATCGTTTTCTACTATAATGCACTTTTCGAACACGCACCAAAGATTTAGTCGAACAATAATAAAAGTGAGATACGTTAATGATACCTTAAGGGCTCCGGAGTAAACGTAAACAACAATATTAATTTTGGAATTAAGTTTTACTAGCGGCGGCAGCTTTAACGTGAAACGTCGGCGGTAGTAGCGGTGAAGGAGGCGGCGATGGTGGTGGTGAAAGAGCCGGAGCGGCAACGAACTTCCCCCTCGATCGGGGGATAAACTAGCGAATGGGGTCTGACTAACGGACCTTACTCAGGGCTTATAATCTAATAATATCAACGTTGTAATCAAGGAATCCCTCTACTTCTACCCTCTTCAGTCCCACGAATCGCTACTGGATTACATATTGTCTGCAGCCGTAAAAATACTGCAGTCCAATGGGCACGACCCGCTTAGTTACCAACTTCTGAACTTCTGCTGTCATCACACATTCCAAAGCGGAATGAAACTCCGTTCGCGAGGCAATACAATTAAAATTTCGCGACGGGAGAAAAACAATTTTCCGAATTATATATTCCAACCCCTCCTCACCCAGATCCAACCGAAAACGAATCTGCACCATCGCCGCCTCCGACCTCTTTGTTTTTATTTTCGAACACAACGGGATGAAAAATAAAAATATGAACAACATCCACCTTTATGAAAGGCCATAATTTAATTTAATCACAA